CAGGGCCCGCACCCTGGGGCCCCACCGGCCCAGCCCAGCCGCAGCCCGCAGGCCGCGCTTTGTTCCTTTCCGGACGCCTCCGACTCCTCCCCTGCCCCACCCCCGCATGGGCGGAGCCTCCCTTAAAAGGGCAACGGCTGTGGGACCAGGCCGCCCCTGTAGAGGAGAGCCGAGTAAAGAGAATGGGTCACGGACAGAAAGGAGACAGAAAAAGTGGAGCGGGAAAAGTGGTGGGCATGGTTCCTTTACAGTTCTTTGTGCTCCACCGCAACACTGTGTTTCATTATTCTGTCCAATTATAACTCCCAAGGAAAAGGATCTAAAAGTGGGGGTCAGGAGGCTGGGGTAAAGCCATACCTGGTCCCTAACTTTCAACCTGACTCCTTGTCAGTGTCTGAGTACCTGGGCTGAGCGTGAGGTGGGAAAGGATGAGGCGGTCTCAGGATGCTTCAGGAAAGAAGCTACCAAGGGGATTAGAATCCCCATTTCACTCAAGGGTGGGGAAAGAGCACTAATGGCTCAGGAGGCTACAGAGGTGCTGCAGAGGCCCATCCCTCTTGTTCCTGACTTTGAGGAGGCAACTATCTCATAGTCCTCTCCCTCCCCGTCATCCTCTGAGTGGGGAAACTGAGTGGAAACAAGCCCAACTCATGTCTCAGGGAATCAAGGGGATCAGATAGTGGTAGGGTGAGAGATCAAAAGCAGGAAAAAGGCAAGTGGAGCTGGGGCTGGCATGCACACTCAGAACCACAAAAAGAACAAATCACACAAGAGGAACAGCTATTTTTCTAGAGGGTTTTTCTCAAGCGGGATCTCTCAGTGTTGCAGCTGCTGCAGGCTGTGCAGGGCTTCAGCACAAGCCCGGATAAGGCTACACAGCTGGATGCTAGTCTCCAGGGAGGTGCTAGAGCCCAGTTCAGCTGAGGCCCAGGTCAGCTTCTGCAGGAGGGCCTCCTGTGTGCTTGCCACAACATCTGCATTTGGAGGCACAGCAGGAGGGGGTGTCCCCTGGGCTGCCTTGAGCCCTGCTGCAGCTCCCTCACAGTGCTCTGGACGGGGTACTGGGGGCTGAGGGGTGGGACGAGAGCCTGCGGGGAGCTCCAAGGCAGAGGCGAGTTGGTGTTCTCGAGCTTGGGAAAGGGCAGCCTGGGCATTCAGAGCTAAAAGAGGAGAAATCGAGTGGAATGGTCAGAATGCCTGGCCCACCTCGGCCCTGAGCTTCCTCCTTACTCTCTACTGCTCTGCTCTTTCTGTGCTTCAGATGTTTTCCCTGCCACTCTATAGGGCAACTATTCATTTTCTCCTTTGTATCAGATTTACTTATGTCCTTGATTCATCTCTCCCATCAGGACTATGCCTTATTGAGCTGGGTCCCTCCATTGTGTCTAGCACACAGGAGGTGCTCAGTGCTCTTACTGAATGAATGCTCCCCTATAGAGCTAAAAGGAGAAAGCACCTTATATCTGCCCCACTCATGGACGGTACTGTCACTTCCCAGGACTACTGTTCCCAGGGCTCTATCACCACATTTCTCCACCAAGCACACTTAGCCCCTCACCCGGATTATCTTTATCCACGTCTGAATCGAGCTCCTGACAAGCCACGCAGTAGATCTGCCGCTGTTTGTTTTGGAGGAGGATCGTCTAGGGACCAGAAAGCACAGGGGGCAGCGGTGAGACGCCAGGCAAGGGTCCGGAAGAGGAGAAGTTGGGGAAGGACCGTGCGGCCTACTCTGTGGCGCCATCCCCGCTCCCACGTCCCAAGCCTCTCCTCACCCCGCAGTCGGCGCACGTCTCGCCCAGCATGCGGTAACCACGCAGCAGGTAGTCGCCCATGAGCGAGGAGATGCGATTCTGCCGCTCCCGTCGAGCTTGCAGCACCTTCGTCTCCGCTTCGGTCGGGGGCTCCCAGCAGAAATCGTCGACCTCTGGGGAAAGAAAGGCACAAAGGGCCTGGGGCTCTAGTCGAAGCAGGCTGCCCCCCGTACCTCACAGCCGCAGACCCCGCAGCTCCAGCGCTCACCTGCACCATTCAGAGCCATGTTGCCGTTGTCGCCGAGGCTCAACGGAAGTGACGCACAGGCAGAGCGCCTTTCCCCGGCTCCTCCCCCTCCGTGGGGGGCCAACGCCGAGGGTGGAAATGACGTAGGAGCGCTTCTCCGCCGTCGCGACGCCCGGAGTGGGGCGCCTGTGCTGCAGCCGGGACCCTGTGCAGTTCGCGCCCCCCAGCGGGAGCCCAGTGGACAAAAAGTTTCGACTGGCGGCGCGGAAGGAGAGGCTTCGCGGTAACGGCTCAGATCGCAGCGCCCGGAAGTGACTGCGCAGGCGCCCCTCCTGCCCCCCGCCTCCCGCTCTGCAGGGGTTTCCCTTTCCGCACGGGCCGGACCTTTGACAGGCAGGACGGTGGCGTCATCACAACACCCTCGCTAATAACCAACGGCCCCTTTTCAGGCCTCAGTACTTGTCGCTTCAACCTGCAAGACAGGCCAGGCGGAGAGCATTCTCGCTTTCTGTACCTTTCAGCCTATCTGCGTGTTTGGTGTCCCAGTCGCTCCATTCCCTACCAACCCTAAGGCCTGGGACTGACACAAAGTCATCTCCTACCTTCTTGAAGTTAAGCCCGCAAAAAGCTTGCTGCCTGAAAAAGCGCCGTACTGGGCATGCGCAGTTCCGGTAGCAGCCCCAGCCGAGAAACGCTTGCTGGAGAGTGAGCGTGACGGGCTTATTTCACACGTCGGGGACCGTTATGCTTTTCCTGGGTGAGCTGCTGTTAAAAATACTCGTGCTCCCTAACATTGGTCTTGGTGATTTTTTTTCTCTTCTGTGTTCTTTTCCATTCACATCCTCTCTCCTTTTAGGTTGGAGAAGCCAGAAGTGCGGCCGGCAGTCCAAGGCTGTACACTGGGCAGTGGAGGAGCTAGGCCTTAGCGCCCCCCCCCCGCCCCCGCAGTGTCATCATCAGCCTCCTCCTTTGTTTAGACAGCACATGATTCTTCCATATCACTTGAAGACTGGGTGCCCTCCTCCTGGCGCCACCTCCCTTCTGCATAGACTCTTTGGAACTGCCATTTCCTGACCCTTGCTGCCTCTTGCTTACTTGGAGAGCCCTGTGCCCTCTTCACTCTCCGTCTACCAGCAGTGTACCTGACTTAGGCCCTGACCCCGGGTCAGCTCTGCTAAGCTGGCTTGAGGGACTCTTGGACTCTAGCCTGTATGCACAGGCCTTCCAAGTCCTCACTGTCTTCAGCCCTGAATTCTTCAGTGCACCCCTCTGTGTCACCGTCATGGCCAACATCCATTCAACAGCCTATTCCGATTTTCACTCATCCATTTATTCCCTTTCATTTCCTCAGGACAACCTTATGGGGTAGACACTACAGTTACCCCCACTTTACAGAGCAGGAAACTGAGTAATTCTTTTAAAATATAAATTAGATTATGTCACTCTTTTCCTTAAAACTCTTTGGCATCTCCCCATAACATGGGGAGATGAAAACCCAAAGTCCTTACTATGGTTTCCAATGTACTACAAATCTGACCCTTGGCCCTCTCATCTCCTCCCACCCTCCCTGCATTCTTCCTCTCCCACTACTCAAGGGGATTCCCATCACCTTTCTCCACTCAAGGCCCCTCCCTGCCTCAAGTTCCACAGGAGGGTGGACAAGGCACAGGCCTGGAATCAGGCAGGCCTGGGTTTGATCCTGCACCTGCTGCTTACTGGCTATGCTGCCTGGAGTAACTTACCTCACCTCTCTGGATGTCAGTTCCTCATCTGCAAAACAGGACAAGTTATACCTACTTAGCAGGCCAGCTCCAGCTGGAAGGCAATGTGGCTGTGATTGCTGAGTCGAGGAGTTCCAATTGTGAAATAGCTAATGTCACTAACAACCTTGCTGCCCAATAGAGGGTTTTGGGATGGCAATGTTTTCAGCTAACCGGAAACAAGTCACAGCTGATCAAACTATCTAAAGCACTATATGGATATCCATGCAAGGGCCCTTTCTCTGATGAGACTGACAGGAATCAAGCTGTTGATCGACCTCGCACTTCCCAGATTGCCTCCATCTCTGCCTGGATCCATCATTGTACCAGACATGGCAACATGCCAACCATAACTGAATGGGCACAAAGTAAAGGACTCTATACTTCTGAGTCCTTCCCAGTCCTTGATGGAGTGGGCACATAGAAGGTCCCAGAAGTGCTGGCGATAAAGCCAATTTACAGCAGTCATGGTTGGCAGACCGGTTGTCTGGGAAGCAGTGAGCTTGGGCTCTTTCATACCCATCCCTCACTAAAGAATTCAGACACTCTCTTGTGAGTAGCCCAACACCTGTGGCACTGTTGACATAGCAGTAGTTAGGCCCATTCCTGAGTGGAGGCACACACAATGGTGGCATTTTCACACACAGCTCAATTACAGCACCCCCCTCTCGACTGCCTCATTTGAGGGAGTTGTCGGGTTCTCATGGCAAGGACTGGCTTATGCCGCATAGCTGTGACTCTGGAAATCATAACATATTACTGTATTTTCACACCAACAGGCTCTGCAAAGGGGTCGGCTTTCCTTTTTGTTTTTCACTGCAATGTGAATTGACCTGACATTTCTGTGAAACAGGCAAGGGCCAGATGATATACAGTGATAAAAATAATAATACTTAGCTTTAGTGTATATTTTCTTTGGGCTAGGCACTGTGCTAAGAGCTTTTCATGAATTCTCTCGTTTAATCCTCAGGACAATGCTGAGGCAGGTCTTATCATTAACCCCAATTTGCAGATGAGGAAGCTGAGGCTTGGACGGGTCTGCAGCCTAATTCTCACCAGTGGACTTCTCCTGCATTTGAAAGGTGGAAAGGAGTGGTGGGGCTGAAGACCCTCTCTGAATTATCAAGAGTAAAGATAGGTTCATTTCACTTTCCAGTCCCATCTCTCAGGGCCCTTCACAGTATATGGCACATCAGAGGGACTCAGTGACAGCCACTTTCAGTAAAGTGTCATTGGAGACACATGCTTCAGGGCAGAAATATCCCCTACAGGTCTCTGAAACTTCCAACCCTCATCTTTATTTTTATTTATTTATTTAATCCTCACCTAGGATATTTTTTCCATGGAATTTTTTTTTTTTTTTTTAGAGAGAATGGAAGTGAGGGAGAGGGGGAGAGAGAAACATCAATGTGACAGAGACATATCGATTGGTTGCCTCCTACCCGCACCCCAACCTGGGCTTAGGATGAACCGGCAACCCAGGTATGTGCCCTTGACCAGGGATCAAACCTGCTTCCCTTCAGTGTACGGGCCGATGCTTTAACCACTGAGCACACCAGCCAGGGCAAAACCAACCCTCATCTTTAGAACTGATGTGTAGCACCCCCTCACTCACACCCCCCCCCAAAACCTAGAAGCTTCCCAAAGACATTCAGAACTCAGAGAGAAGGCACAGAGCCTGGCAACAGTCTGCCCTTTTTTTTTTTTTTTTT